GGCTGAACCACCTGACTGATTGTCCGACACCAGGGTTCATCGGGTCGTTGGACGACATGGTATCCCACTAGAAGAAGTAGACTGTTACCATTTTTAGTTATTGTTTCGAAAAACCATTATGTAAGAAGGATAGATGTGTCATTACATTAAACATCATTTTGAAAATAACTACGCATAAATGTATTTTTGTGTCGTTAGTTTAACAGTTTCTAACTTAACAAGTTATACGTCATTACGTATGAATTTCGCTATATTTCAAACCCGCAATCCCATGGAACCCGCTCAAATTTCGACCCGGATCAGTCCCGTAAAAAACATGCAAGATCCCGATATTTCGGGATCCCGATATCGCGGTATAGGTATTGCATTCCCTAGCCATAGCCGTTCGCTATACAGGGTGTAATACACGGTGCAACGAAAACTGAGCAGACGTGCTCAGACCATGAAACTGAACAACTTTTCTCATGGAACATATATGGTGGTAAACGAAAACATGATACAATTTTCACGATCAGCTGACTGATTTTTTTGTATGGGAAGTAAAAAAAAATTTACCACCACAATGTTCCATGGGGAAAGTTTTTTTTTTTAATATAAATAATGGGTAAGCATTTGTCCGCAATCTCACCTGATGTTAAGTGACGATGCAGACGATGATGGAACATGCTCGCCCAGATAATGCCTATTCACTCTCGCCTTGAAAAGACCCAGGTTATAACGTTCCGGAAACAGATCCGCAGGCAAGGAGTTCCACTCCTTAGCAGTTCGCATTAAAAATGTAGAAGCGAAGCGCTTTGTGCGAATTTGCGGGATGTCTACGATATAAGGGTGGAATCCCAACCGGCGTCTCGTGCATCGGAGATGGAATGGTGACGGAGGTATCAGGTCATGGAGAGACTGTGCACACTCCCCGAAATGTATCCTGTAGAATACCGACAAGCAAGCTACTTTGCGACGGTGTTCGAGGCTCTGTAACTTTGCGTCAATTAGTGCCCTATCAGAGATGAGTTTCTTGGCGCGCTTCTCAATCGAGTCCAGGGCTGCCAGCTGGTATTTGGCAGACCCGTCCCACAGGTGACAGCAATACTCCATGCAGGAACGGACTTGAGCTTGGTATAGTTGTAAAAGCTGTACTGGTGTGAAGTATCGCCTGACCTTCGAGAGAATTCCGAGTCTTTTTGCTGCAGTCGTGGCCAAAGACTCAATATAATGTCCAAAGTTCAGGTCAGATGAAAGGTTCATGCCAAGAAGCTCAAGATGGTCGGAAATCGGTACGGATACACTTCGGAAAGTCGGAGTCAGGTCGAAGGGACTCCGTTTAGTGGAGAATAGACATGCCTGTGTTTTAGATGCATTAAACTTGACAAGATTTGCATCACCCCATTCGGATATCGCTTCAAGATTCAAGTTTAGTCGACTCACTAGGGCCCGTCGACAAGACTGAGTAGATTCATTGCTGGCCTTTGCACTGGACAGGACCTATCAACAACCGTGCTGTCATCTGCATACCCAAAGGTGTCGGGCGTGAGCATATCGTTGATGTGCAGCAGAGATAGGGTTGCAGAAAGTACAGACCCTTGAGGGACGCCGGCATCAATAGCCTGTTCATCTGAAGAGCGTCCTTCTAGGACCACTCGTATTGACCGTCCACTCAAGAAATCTGCGATCCAGTTGCAAAGTCCAGGTAGGTAGCCCGTAGGCGGGAAGCTTGTTAATAAGACTTGCGTGCCAGACCCTGTCAAATGCCTTTGAGACATCCAGAGATACGGCGAGGGCTTCGCCGTGCCTCTCGATAGCCTCGCTCCATGAGTGGGTGGCATGCACGAGGAGGTCCCCTGTCGACCGCCCGCGGCGGAAGCCGTATTGACGGTCGTTAAGGAGATTATTGCTCTCGAGGTAAGCCAGGAGCCGATTGTTTAGTACACTCATAATAACTACTCCATATAGACATTCCAAAGTTATGCACATCGTCATTGATTTCAAAGTCAATTGAGCCACTACCCCACTCACACAGTCAAAGAACCGTGTACGACACGGCGTGAAGTAAAAGAATGGGATGACTAAGCAAACAGGTTCTGATAACGACAAACAGCTAAAGGGTTACAGATATTCGCACCCAATCACAACTGCTCGTGTGGTGTAATGGTTAAGAGAGCGGAATTTAAAGTAAGATGTCGGTGGTTCGTATCCGAAAAGGTCACAGTATATTTTTGTTTTCTTTTTTTATGTGAGTTTTTATTTTAACTAAACTAAACTAAGGACCAAAATTTTATGTTCAATTACCCACCTTAACCTATGATATGAACTGTTCAAAATTCAGGCAAATATTAATTTGGAGAAAAACATAATAACGGTGGTCCTACAAAATACTAAATAATTAGCCAGGCGTCGTTACATTTTATATTGGTGAGCAATAGAAAAATTACGATTGCATTTACCTACCATTATAACGGGGCCCTCACGTTAAGCCCATTACTGCGCATTATTAGCGCAGCACTGATGCATGCGTCTGTCACATGCGAGAAAATTTCAAATACCCCATACTGTAAAAAAAAAACGCAGAAACTTGCGTCGACGGGTGCGTCTGTCAAACAACGCAACGTATAGACACTTATAATAATATGCAGTTGCATACATTATAGTATGGGGAATTTTAAATTAACTTGCATATGACAAACAAACGCATGCGTCAGTGCTTTCGTTTCGTTGAAGTCGGTTTTTAGTACGGGAAATTCGTTTTTTTAGTCTGAGGGACGCATGGGTTAGCGATGTGCTAAAATTACGCACTAACAGTCGTTACCTGTGGGTCCCGCCAATTTATGCTCGGTTTAATAATTAAAATGTAAGATTCTTATTGGATCACTAACAGGGAGTGAGTTAAATATCTACTTTCAGCTTAAAGTTTCTTGACACTTTACTTTCTTTACCTACCTAGTCGTGCTTTTGTTTATTGCCTTGTTAAATAAAGATATTTTATAAAAAAAATACTAACCTCATTCAAAATATAAGACCTACAAATTTAAATTAACTAAACTAAAACATGGTAGTTAAATAAAAGAATTACAAAAAAAGATAAAAAATTAAAAAAGTCATGTTAGATCGGTGGGGATCGATCTCACAAAAAGTGATTTATATCCTAACGCGCTTACACGCTAAGCCACGGTGACTATGACTTCTAATGTCGAATTAAGGCATCAGAATCTTACCACATGCTTAAGAATAAAAGGATTTTGTGATTTTGAATTTAAAGACGTTGTTATTAGAGTGAGTATTGAGTTTACGCATTGATGTTGCAAGTGTGTGAGTTGAATAATCGTCCCAACGTGCAAACGATTTTAAAAGTGCATAACTTTGGAATGTCTATATGGAGTAGTTATTATGAGTGTACACGCTCCATAGTCTTGCAGAGTATAGAGGTGACTGATATGGGTCTATAATTGGCAGGGTCAGCACGGCTGCCTTTTTTGGGCACAGGTTGCACGTTTGCAAGCTTCCACGATTGGGGAACTACACCAGTCTCCAGTGAGAGGCGGAACAGGCGTATCAATATCGGAGACAACTCAGGCGCACAGTTACGCAGAACAATTGCAGGGATACCATCAGGGCCGCTCGCTTTATTTACGTCTAGGTTGTTCAGTTTCTTGTTACACCGTCTCTTACACCCTACATAGCGGACGGCTACCGTTTTTCAGGAGACTGTATGGATGTATGTGGAGCGCATGCACATAAAAATAGCAATCAGGCGCTAGGACTCAGAAGGTTCAGAATAAAATTTAAAAAAGTGTAACGAAATCCATAAAGATCCATCACAAAAATATTAATGAGCGAGTGAAACCACGCGACGGAAACCTAGTAATAATATAATGATGATCAACTGAATGATATTGCCCTATCATATCAAAAGGCGACATTATGCGAAAACGACATTTTGCGAAAGCGACATTATGCGAAAGCGACATTTTGCGAAAACGTCATTGTCCGAAAGCGACATTTTGTAGTGAGTATACATTTTGCGAATCGTACATTATGCGACTGAACCGTTTTAAGTAGTTAAGTTCTTTTGCTAACACTATAGAAACATAGAAAACTTTTCTCAATTGAAATTTATTGATGAAATAAAATTCTTATAGCAAAAATCTTTATCACCACGACAGATTAAGTTAATTATTAAAATCATAGAAAAGATTTGAACATTTGAAATATACCTAAATATAATAATAAGCATAATAAACCTCAGGCTTTTTAAATATAACTTTTCTTAACTTTAATTGAGGCTTATTAATTAAAATATATTTGTACGAAATCAGGATACAAACTCAGACACCGGGGTTTATCGGGTTTTTTGTAGAGTGACCCTCACGAAAAAAGAAGGGTAATACATATTTGAGTAATCTAACTCTGGGCCTTAAAAAAACTTCGGGTTTCTGTCTCGACTTCCAAATTACTTGTCTAAAAGAGAGGAAAAATAAAAAACTCATCGCAACAATCTCGTGCAAATTACCACAAAGAAACTAAGTTAGTACGAGTTAAGAAGTTAAATTGGGAAGTTGATGCAATTCGCTGGCAGGGGAACCAATTTGTTACCGTCACGGCACTGTACCAGCTCAACTTTGCTGTTTTATTTCTGACAGCGGAATGAATGAATTTGCAAAACAATAGAGCGAACAGTTGTAAAAACATTCATCATCATATCAAAAATTTATTCGGGTTGGTGCAACATGATTTGCTAGAACACAAAATGATGTCTAAAGGAATTGGCAATCTTTTATGACCGGCCACCTGCCTCGTCAAGCCCCTTTTGGAATGCTTTTGTAGGTGGTATAAACACACCTATGGATGGAATGGATGGGGAATGCTACGTCCAGCAGTTGACTCCTAGAGTCTGATTAGAGGAGATGTAATGTTGCGATACCTAGTTGCATAAACGCCTGATTTTCTAGTAGAAGCATAGTGCTCTATCTCCTGCAGCTTAATATTGAAGCAAAATTTGCAAAATTTACCACCGCAGGCTAGACTTGAACCAGCGACCTTCACCATCTGTACTGGCGATGCCTCTACCATCTGGGCTTCAGCGGCTCACTCAGCCTGCGAAATAAGGAAGTGTAGGTATCTTGTCTTGACCACTAACGCGTTTTAAATTTTGTATCTTCCAAAAATTTTATACATAAATAACACTTTAAACGATTTTATATTTTCTACGTACAAGTAAGTACATCAATATCACACACAGTTACTGTAATAATATCATGTCATACCACTCTATTGCCGATTTGGTAAATCACTTCTATCTGTAGATCCATTTACTTGATTGAAATCAGTATTTCGTAAAGTATCATACGATATGTCTGAGAGAAATAAAAAATATGGCCTGTCTGTAGGTAGTAATACTATCCCAAAAGTAGGTAAAAGATAAAGGTTTTGTTAAGATCGTGTAAGTTATAACTTACTTACATTTCTAAGACGAGTAACACATCGCTATCGCATGCGTTAGGATGCGATTTTTAGGGTTTCGTAGTCTACTAGAAACCCTTATAGTTTCGTCATGTCTGTCTGTCTGTCTGTCTGTCTGTCTGTCTGTCTGTCTGTATGCCGCGCCCTCATATCTTCGTCAGTTTTAGAGCTATCGACATGAAATTTGGTAAGAAGATAGATCGTGTTGACCCAAATATAGAAATGTTAAGAAAAAAATATTTAAAATGTTTTTTGGACCCCCTCCCATACAAGTGAAAGGGGGGAAAAAAAATTTTTTTTCTTCTGTAATATTGAGTAGGGTATCGTTGAATAGGTCTTTTAAAATTAAGGTGAGGTTTCTTTGAAACAAATTCTCTAAAATTTTTCTGTCACGAGATATTTGCTTTTAAAAAGGGCGTTTTTGACCCATAATTTGTTCCAGCTGTAACTTCTAAAGCATAAACGCTAAAAATTTGAAATAAATATGGAATATAGCTTACAATCTGAAGTTACAATGAAAACTATAACGGATATCGTACCCTTAAAGGTTTCAGGAAAAATTGAGTTTTTCTATTTGCGGTTGGTCATCATACTGCTGCTAACAAATCAGCAACAAAATTAAGTTTGTAATGCTGAAAAACCTGATATTTAAACGTTGACTACGAAACCCTATTTAGGCTGGGCGCACACGCCCGGAATTCTCGCCCGGATTCCGGGTCCGATTTCCCCGTCCGGAATTCCGGGCGCCTGCCGCAGACGCCCGGAATTTTCTAACCTCAATATTTCCCGCCATTACTCTGAGAGGCTCTGAGTGACGCGGATGTCAAAGCACGTTATCATGGAGTTCATGGAGGACTAGAAATTACTTGTAACTACATTGCCACTGGCGCTGAACAAGAAAAAAACTGTTGCGTCGGCACGATTCCGGCCGGAAAATTCCGGGCGTGTGCGGCGACTCGAACAAAATCTATGGGAGCGATGTATTCGCTATGACGTCATCCGGTTTTGAAACCGGCCGAACTGACAGCGCCGCCGGTTTGATTCAGCTCCGGGCAACCGTTTTCCATTCCGGCCGGAATGGAACCGGACGTGTGCGGCAGTTAGAACATTTTGTATGAAAATATAGCATTCCGGGCCCCGGACGAGGAAACCGGGACCGGAATTCCGGCGAGCATTCCGGGCGTGTGCGGCCGGCCTTATGGGCGTGTCTGACACGCTCTTGGCCGGTTTTTTATCTTATTTTCATACAAACACTGTTTTACCGACACATCTGATAGCGCTACGCATCGCACAATGCTGCGTTGACGGATGGTTCTGTCAATCTGTTTAACGTTTAACCGTATTTGTAAGGCAATAAGATTCCAGATTCGTATTTCCCTAACGCAACGTTACGCAGCGCCAAAATAACGCACAAATAGACGTCACGTGAGTTTTTCGCTTAATACACTCTCGACAGAACGTAAAAGATTTGGGTTTTGTTAGAATTATGTAGGTCTATAATATCCTACATTCCTAAATGCCGATAAAAGATATTGTTGTACCTAACAAGGCTTAATATCTTTGACAAAAGTCGTATTACGTACCTACGTGATGTTAATATGAGATTTCATGACTTATCTACCTATTTCCATAACCATCCAACCACAACTTTGACAAGAAAAATATTTCAAATATAAACAAAAATATATAGTTCAATGATCGCATTCTCTGCGATTAATAACTATTTAATTAACAATAAATAATTAATCAATTCAATTTGCTATTTATGGCAAGTCGAATTTTTTTGTGAATAACAAAGATTGAAAAGCGGTTAATTTAACCTGAAATGTTTAAATTTTTAATTATACTTTATTAACCGGTAAATCAAAACCGGTATCAGTCCCTGATAAATAAACCAAGCAGATCTGATCACGAGTATTAAAATTTAAAAAAGTAGTAATTTCGTAAAAAAAAACTGCCTTTACTGTGAAGAAACCGCTTCATAATGTAATTGAGAAACTTATCTTATCTTATCTTAATTAGCCCGTATCGTCCCACTGTTGGGCAAAGGCCTCCCTCTTCTCTTTCCACCCTGTTCTGTTTTGGGCCTCCAATTGCCAATCTTTGCTAAAGGCGTCTAGCTCGTCGCGCCACCTGCGACGGGGTCTTCCACGGCGTCTTCTCGATGTGGGTGGTTGCCACAGAGTTGTTGTTTTTTCCCACAGGTCTTCTTGCATACGGCAAACTTGACCAGCCCAATTGAATCTTAGCTTGGCTGCAGTACAGTCATTTTTGTCCTGGAACGCAGCATATTATTCGACCCGGTGTTTGACCCGGTCGGCCAGCTTCAGGCCTTACATACTGCGCTCCATGGCACGCTGACAAATCTTTAGGCTGGACCTTTGAGATTCCGTCAGAGACCAAGTCTGAGCACCGTAGGTGAGGATTGGGAGAATGCATACGTCCATGAGTTTTCGTTTGAGCGAAATTGGTAGGTCGCTCTTCATGTGACTTTCCATGGACCAATAGCTCCTCCAGGCGTTTTCGGTGCGTCTAGCAACTTCTTTATCTTGGCGTGCCTAAAAAGAGACTATTTGGCCCAGATACAGATACTCATTGACATATTCCATTCTCCCAATATCCACTATCACCCTGTATTTTATGCTGTTTGTCATAAGCTTGGTCTTTGACATATTCATCATTAGTCCCGCCCCAAGACTAGCAGTGCTCAGTTCTTACAGCATAAGTTGTAGTTCTGACGCTATTGTTGAAAATAACATGATGTCATCGGCGAAACGAAGATTTGTTAACCTTCTTCCGCCAACGTCAACACCCCGCCCTTCCCAGGTATTTGCAAGCCTTTGAAAGACTTCCTCCAGCGCGCTAGTGAATTATTTTGGGGACAGAGGGTCGCCTTGTTTGACGCCTTTTCTGATATGAAATGATGGACCTGTGCTTTCTAGTTTAATGGCAGCGGTGCTATTGGTATATATAAGCTTGAGTATGTCTTAGTTTTTATCTATTTCCTGTTTTTGTAGGGCATAGAACATTACAGTATGTAGTAAACTATCAAAAGCCTTTGAATAGTCTACAAAGGCAAGGTAGAGTGGTAAATTGAATTCTTGGTGTTTTTCAATGAGCTGGTTAAGTGTGTGCAGATGAGAAACTACTTAACCGATTTTTATGAAACGTTTTTTTTGACAGTTCGTAGTCACAAATAAATATAACTCTGCCTTCACCGTTAAGAGACCGCTTGATTGTGAATTGGGAAATTCTAAGCTGATCTTTATAAAACATTTTTCTGGTAGCTCATGGTTGGACATCTTTCTCACCAATTAAATAGTTAGGTAAGGTGCATTATTTCATTTTACAGACCCAGTTCAAAGGTCTTTATTTTGAAATTCTTACACATACGGGTCGAATTAATACTCTCCTTTTTAGAAGTCGGTTAAATCAAATGGCCGGAACTTTTAATGAGTCGTTCTGAGGTAAACCTTTTCCGTCAACTTCCGATTCGTGCATATTTAACTTGCAGGAATCTATTTAAGCCATTGTCACACTGTGTTTTTGACAGCACGTTGAGCTCTCGTTAACTGACTATGCGTTAATACTAATAAATACCTACGTTATCGCGATCGATAGTCTCCAAATCATACAATCACTTATTTTATTTGCCATTTTTATTCAGTTTTCTAAATTAACAAGTGATGAAAATCCTCTATTATACCAAACAAGAAATGATACACACCACTGCCATTAAAGGTATCCGTTCAAATGGGTAGCAACTAGTAACACACTGTTTTAACTGGGGCGCTGTTTTCCATTTTCTAGACGAATTTATATCTAAGCCGCTTTTTTGCTTAGTATTGCTTCTTACGAGAGTTATATGAGAAAAAAAATACAAAATACTTGAGCTGCTGACTAGTTTTTACGGACGAAGGAAAAAAAACGTTTCCTGGCATAGGCTCCATTTACTAAGTTGTGCACTTGGTCTTATCTTCGCATCGACCCTAACACTTAATTACGTACAGTACAGATACAAGAATGTAAAGAAATAAACGATCAGCAAGTAACACAACTTGTGTACACCGATCCTATCGTTGGCTGTATCATTCGCGTTTTAAAGTAAACAAGAGTGGTATCTGCCTCGATTTTGCTAAGCAAATACACCATACGATGCGAGAATCTACGATGTAGGTGTTTATTTTCTAAATGAATATGTGGTGAGGCTGATTCAATATTAATTATCTTGTGGGTGTAAGAAAATAGAAGGCCGAGAGTAAGTGTCTTTAATTTTGTTTTACGTAACACCCCTAGTCCACTCATGATGTTTCGTAAAAAGCGACGTAGATTTTTTGACCTCGGCTGAATATTTTGTCGACTATGGCCAACTGCATGGTGGCGGTGATACTACTTTCAATAGCATTAGGGGGCGGTCAAAAAACATTGCGAAACCTTTTTGTTACATGATCCAGTCTTTTAACAAAACATGTAGCGCCGATCCCAACTAGTTTGGAAGGGCAAGAAGATGATGATATTATCAACAGCTTTGAGACAGTGCAAGACATGACTTTTGTCTAAGGCCTCTTTTGATCGAGATGCAACTGAAAGACGACGCATTTAAAGAATTCTTTCATCATCTGGTA